GGACGCCCCGGCCGCAGGACACCGAGCACTGGAGGAAGGGACAAAAGGTGAGTGGCGGTCCCCGTCGCGGTAAGTGCCCAAGGTTCACCCTCTGCTCTGTGCTCAGCGGCAGCGATAGCAATGCCCTAACGCTGGCGCTGAAACTCCCAGGTGAGTCTCCTCTTTGCGCGAGGGGAAGATTTTGCAAGGGCAGAGCAGACAGGCTGAAATCCCTGCTCCGCTGAAGCCCGCGGGAATTTTTGCTGTTGGCTTCAGTGGGGTCAGGATTTCCCAGACAGGATTTGTATGGCAAAAACCTGCGGAGATAGCGGCACTGCTAAGCCATTGCAACACGCCGGCAAGGCTCTGCGTATTACTTCTCAGGCACTCGGCTCAAAAAAAGTAATAGTTCAAAATATATCAAATGCCACGAGTGCCACTGGGGTGGACTTTAATGAAAAGCAAACTTGAATTATATAGAAGAAAGTCTGGAGCAAGAGAGAGGCAAAGGTATGATACAGCTGGGATTTCTTTCAGCATGCATCGAAACATGCACAGGCACACAAGCCAGGGCACGCTCTTAGTTTGTGAAAATAAATGTGGTTTTTTTTTTTTAAATTAACTGCATTTCACATTTCCTTCACTGCGGGCACATTTCCTACACTGTGGGCATATTTCTCCCCACTCCTAGGCACAACAAGAAAAGCCTGAGTTTCTCAGACATCTTCAAATTATTATCTACACTACAATGCTTTTAACCGCTTGGGTTTTCTTTCTCGCAACACTTCTTATTGTTGTGACTGCACACTGCAATACGTTTAGCAGTCCTTAACTTCTTGCTGGTATGGATTCTTCCTGGTTAAATCTTCAAGTATATGATATAGATTTGGAATAAAAAGAATTTGCATTTATAGAAGAAAGCATGTAAAAATCAAAGGTATGCGTTTAAGACACAGCTATTACGATTAAGCATTTTCTGAATTAACGATTAATATAAGCAACCTTATTAATACATCAGGAACTAAGAAAACAAATTTACAGCCCATTATTGCAATACCCATAAAAGCGAGCCATCTTAAGGCAGGGAATTAAGTGCCTAACGGGGAAGCAATTCTTTCTTCTGCAGAGTATTCTTCTGTAACACTCCATTGCTTTACTATCCAAACGTCCTGTAAAGCCAAGAGGACCAAAGAAAAGCTGACTGTGAATATTTGCCTGGCTTCAAGTATTTGTAAGAGGGTGGGAGGTTTTTTTGTGTAACTTTTGAGAGTAGCAGTGAGATTTCTGTCACTGGTGATGCAAATGCTTCCCATATGCTGCGCTGCCTCCCCGTGATTAACAGCGCTATTTGTCCTACGCATTCCTTGGGGGACGGTTAATCAGAGTAATGGCCACAAACTTGGAGAAACATATACACCAGGATGCATACCACGCTCTAAAACACCTTTTGGGTTGCATTTATCACCCACCTAAAAAGCACATGCCTGGGGATGTTATGGTAAGGGAGAGCAAGTCACGCTGTGGCTCCTCGACAGGGGGTTGCGCTGCATGTGACACCCGGGCAGAGTGGGTTTGGGGAGGGGGTGGCTGGTCCCTGGCTGTGCTGGGCAAAGCATGGCACAGGGCAAAGCCATAGACTCATCCTGCTGCGCACTTAGGGTGAATCTTTGCCTGCACGTAAGCCCATGAGGATAAGTGCTGCACACCAACTGAGTCCCGGACCATCCCGTGGAAGAGATTTGAACTCCCCTGCGGCAAGTGAGCATGCAAGCAAGGAGCTTTTCCTTGGACTAACTGCAAGAGTGTACGTAGGGGAGGCTTTCCCTAGCTGGATGGGCTTCCTAAGTGCAGCCGGTGGGCCAGATGCCCAGGGTGGCCACGGTGCGACCCAGCCACAGCATGGGAGACAGGGATTGCAGTGGCCCCGGCCAGAGGAGATGGAGCCACAGGTGAGCCCGGCCCCGGGGCCACAGGAGGGCTGCAGTGTGGCTGACCTGGCCACACTGGGTACAGCTGCTGCCAGGGCACGGGGCCCTGCTGAGGAGGGGGCAATAGCGGTGCCCGGCTTGGGCAAAAAGTTGGGGAGTTGGGGCCACAGGAGTTTTCCCAGCAGATGGAGGCATCTCCCTCCCTCTCCTGCTGCACGGTGCTTCTGCAGGGCTGTGCCTCTGCCTGGATTTATGGCTGGCTTCAAAATAACACCCAGTATGCTCTGCCACAGAGGCGAGAAAAGGTGGGGTTTAGCACCATTCTCATCCTGGCTATTTTAATCCAGAATACTGGTCAGCCAACCTGTGTCTACATTGGGGAAATACAGCCTGCTGACACTGCCAGAAGATACTCAGTTTGGGGGCAGCCAGTCTGTGCTGTACTTATACATTCCCCTATGGGTTGCTACAAGCCAGGCAGCCTGTTTGTCCTTTCTGTGGAGTCTATACGTTTTCCCAGGAGTGCTCCTTTCTCCACTGAGAAAGTCAATCATCAAACTGCCAAGCCCCAGCTCGGCTATGGAGAAGCTCTACATGATACTCTACCTGCGGTTTTAGACAGGGCTGGATTTCAGCCTGTAACTGAAATGTGAAAATACCAAATAGCAGAATAAATATTGGTATTTTTGCTAAGTGAAAGGTAAATGGCCACAATTGATACTACTTACAGGATGCAAACACATTAAATCTGACATTTCAGTGCAGATACAAACACATTTAAAACTTGGAGAGAAAGCCTTTTTTCTTCCCTTCTGATTATTACAGATACATTAAAAATGCTTTGCTGCAGTAAAGTGGATTCATAACAATCAAGAAAAGAATTACCCAGCCTCTGTATTCAAAACATCCAGAGAGAAAAAAAAATTGGGAGCGGAGCACTTGGCTCAACTGGCTAGGATTAATTTTTAAACTATTCCTGAATTTTTTTAATCCTGATTTTTTTAATCATTCCTTTTCCCAAAAGGAAAAGAAAAAAACCCTAAAGGCACATGCAACAGGTCCCGTGTGTATATGGTGACAAGAAGGATGCACTCTAATGGGAAAACCTTGCCTTATTTCTCATGCAGAATGTTGCTGGTTTACCCAGGACAAAAGGCACTCAGCTCACAGCAGCTCAGCTTCGGGATTATCTGTCGGAGGCAATTAGGCCTTCAGAAAGTTTTTTCGATAGGATCTAAGAGCAAACTGATCATGGCTCCCTATTTTCAACAGTGTCACCGGTGATGGGAAAGGTGACACGGAACTTCTGTGTCCATTTAGATCCTGACCTACTGGGTACCCTGAGTGCTAAACCCCTGCCTGTTTCACAGTCTTCATGAGAAGTTCAGCACCCAAATCCACCTTGGCTCGGAGGCATTAACTCTTTCGCAAAGCCTTTAAAAAGCCCAGTTTGATATTGCAGAATGGGTGTTTCCAGCCCTTTATTTTTTCCCCAAGCAAGATGCCGGCTGGCTGAGCACATACAGCATCAGGGACCTGGGCTGAGCAGCTACCCTGCAAGCTGGAAATGCTCTGCCTGTTCTTACTCTTCCCATCAGCATACAAATATTCCTTAATTGCCTAGTCACAAGAGATCACCTTAGGCCATAAATCACCTCATCCTCCTATTAACTTGGGTTTCTTTCTCCACTTGCATAAAATTAACTCTGTTTGCACAGTAGAATGTTGGGAATTTTAAAACACTTTTATCAATTAACATTAGTGTATTTTAACACGATTGACAGACCATTACATTATTATGTTTACAATTATTAGCTGTGAAAAATTGCTTTCAGGAGCAGTCACTTTAAATAAGGTCCAAATTGGATATGACAAGACTATCTAACGGCTTCACGTTTCTTTTCCGTCTAGCTTCCTGTATAAAATTGAGGTTTAAGCCCTGCAGGTAATAAAGGTAATAATAAAGGTAATAATATTTCAGTATGGGAGCAGTGCTGTGCGTTTCACAGGGCTACCTGGGTGCTCCCAGCCGTACCTCGGGTAGAGGAGCCAGACCTCACCTCCATGGTGAAGGCACACTTAGCCCTTCACACACGTCATGGCAAATACTGCTATCCTACAAATGCAAAGGTAGGCATTAAAAAAAAATACAAGTCTGAAAACAATCATAGAACATCAATGGGTTTATTGTCTTTTTAAAATGTTGACATTAAACAAGAGTATGCTGTCCTAGTCCTAACACTTGCATGGGTGCCTGAAATGATGCTAATGGTTTATCTTTCAGGGATCTTGCGTACAGTGAGAATTGGTGTTTTGTACCTTAATTTGGAAGACAGACCGCAAGAGAACATGATGTTTTACAAGTAACAGTTCATTTAGTCTGGGATTTTCAATAATACTGCTGATTAGTACACTAATGAGGTAGAGGGAAAAGCAAGGTTCAGAGCTAAAAATGTGATGCAGCAGATTCACGGTGATGACAAAGACCTTATTTTCAGGAAAACAAGGATTCAAGCTATGCTTTCAGCAAACAAGATGCTTAATAACTCCAAGCACTTCCACATTTCCAGCAGCCTCTGGTCTATGCATCAGTGTCTGACTTTAATGAAGCAAAATTAACTGATGAGCTTGTTAAGAAACAAAAGGTAGCGAAAAGCATTTTTAATCAACAGCTTGGATTTTTCTTTAGGTGTTCCCAGGAAGCTGATAATAAAAATAACTTCAGATTTCTTGAAACTAAGGAAGGTTTTGCTTGGGATTTGACATAGTTAAATAATAACTATATTAAAACCATGAATAAATAGTAGATTCTCTTGAATATCATACACTAAGAAATCTGCTTCCAGTCAGATAATAAAAGCAAGTTGCCATCTTTTCAGCTGGTACAAATCAGTGCTGCTCCACTGCTACCCATGAAGCTACACTGCTTTATGCCACCTGAGGATCTGGCCCAAAACTTTTACCCTTGAAAAATTCAAGAGGACAGAAGTGATGGGAAAACCAGCTTCTAACCAATTGGATGGAGGAGGAATATCAAAGGGTGTAAAAGGGTATACAAAGCATCTCACCTGTCCCCAATCTCCTGCTTTCCACTTCGGACATCTGCCCCCTCTGCATTTCTTTTGCACATTGGGTTTAGCAAGGTGCTTGCAATAATCTTCTTCTACATGCCTCCCTTCCTTTGACAAACAGTACACATTGCGGTGCTTTTGGCCCCTTCCACAGGAGACAGAACACTGTAAATATAAAGTAAGAACAAATCAGCTTTCATGCAGGGCCATCTACACAGTTATACGGGGGCCACGGCTATCCAAGGTATTTTCTTTTTACTGGACCAAAAAGCGCATCCCCAGCCCCACCGGCAGCCTACACAAAGCCTGAGGGGGCTACAGAAGGGCAGAACATAACTGCTGGAAATGCTCCCATTTGCGCTTAATATTGCATGATATTCTTGGTCAAAGCTCCCCAAAATGCCAATATCAAAACAGAGAAAGCGTCTGACATTCAGCAGGGATAACAGGCCGGATTCTTGGCTCCTTTCAAAGGAGGAGGGTCATCTTACAGGGATGAAGGCAGGACCCTTCAATACCTACTTAGAACAACTTGAAAGGAACCATTTCCATCTCCCTGGGTACAAAGGGAGGTCAAATGTTGGTAAATCAGGAGAGTAAAGCACGATAACACCTTCACAGAGGGAAATAACTCCACAAAGGACAAGGCAGAAGAGAAAAATGCAGTCTTTCCATGTCTTTGGTATTAAAGCTCAAGGCTTTTTAACTAATGTAGACTGATTTTCCTTTTTTTTTTTTTCTTTTACTAAACAGACTGAAACGAGGACGTGCTCATCCTTAAGATTTATGCATTTTGAAAACAACTCAGAAGGTGGCAAGAAGGCAGAGCCTGAAGAATCAAAGCAAAAAGCAAATCAGCAGGTATGTTAGCTGTAAGCTTTGTAGTGAAGCAACTAATTTCAACCTCCCTCTGCAGGTTCACTGAACTTTTTCAAATGTGACCACTTCTGGCATGCAAACCCCAAGCAACTTCACTTTGATTTCAGATTAGTCTCCTCCAAAAGATTTAGGAATCAAAGGGGTCTGGAATCACGACAAGAATTTAATATGACAGTTTCGTGTAGAACAAGCCTCTTACTCAGCATGATGCACCCAGAGACTCAGCTTCAATTTCTTCATTACATGTTATGCAAGTCATTACATGCTATGTCACAGGCATCCTGGTTTAATCCTCGAGCACAAACACACTGTTTCAACCATCTCTCAATATAAAACGTTCTGCTTTCTTTTCAGAAATGCAGCTTCTTCCTCGTTTTGGAGCCGCTCCACCAGTATATTTCCTAAGAAATAAAATACAGCCCAAGCTCTTCCCAGCCTATGAATATATTTAAAACCTAAAAACCTATGATTTATATATGTAGCAGCTCTGGAAGATCCATTAGAATAGAAATTGGCATATGCATTGACAGCCATGATTATTTTAAATTACAGCACTACTTCCAACTCATTCAGCCCCTATTGTGTTAAGAGGTACACAAAGAACCAGCGAGAGAGCAGTAACTTGCTCCAAAACGGAAAGGTTCGGACCAACATGCAGAGAAATGGATGTAACTCCTAAGATCAGACATTGCTGCTTAAAAGCTTGTATAAGCGATGTCCTGAAAAAGGCTGTTTTCCTGCTGCAAAACCCGTTACAGATTGCCAGAAGGTAGTTGAAGTCCCTTGCGGTCAATGGGGTTTGAGGGCCATTAATGATGCTCCTCCGTGAGAGGTGGGAAGCTGGAGGAGCCTGCAGCAGGGCTGACCACCTCTGAGTTTTCCTGAGCCCCACTCCAATTTCAAGATAAGCTAAAAACCCCAAAGAGCAGCATTCGACCTTGTGCTGAGAAAGAGAGGAACTGCTGTCCGTTGTTTTCAAATAAGACTTTCACGAGTTACCCAGATTCATAACTGTCACTTTTTTCTTCAGGATCAACAGAAAAAGGATTGAGTTAGTCTTACCCAATTTTATAAGCCTTCAAATTTCGTCAGAAGTTCATTTTTTCGTTCTTTCTACATCTCTCCCCAGGCAACGAACATAAACAGCAAGAGGGACATGTCAAATCCTACCAAAGCCAGTTGTAAACTTCCGATACTTGCATCCATTTACTACCTTTGGACTAAAGGCCAACAATGACACTTTAGCAAAAATTCAAGTGCTCCTCAGTAAGCGCCCTCCATGCAGGTTGATGCCACTTTACTGTGAGACCCAAAGCTAAAGAGCAAATTCACACACTTGATCTTGCCCCGCATCCCAAGCCAGTACAGCCAAGTGCATCTTTTCTCTAATTTAAAAAATACTACTTATTCTAAAGGAGGAATAACCCCATTGTGCAATAACGCAAGGACGTTTCTGGGGACCTGAAGCTGGTTGATAAATACTTGAACTCACAATGAATATGGCACTAGTCATTTCCAAAATTGTTATCCCCCTTCTCCAAATTGCTTAACTTTGACCCGGAGCCTGATTCTGACATTTCTCTCGCCCATCCCACCATCAAACAAGAAGACTGCATGCATACCTTGGTGCACTCAGAGGTTGAGGCATAATTTGCCTAATTTTGTTATTACTTAAACGTAATTCCCAAGACTCTTGAATTAACAATTTCTATGGCTGTCTGTAATATAAATCAGAGTTAGGCAGCTGTGCATTTTTAGATCTAAACCTCTCATTTGCTTTCATGCACATGTGAGTTATGATCTCATTTGCACTGGCAGAAAAGAGAGCTTGAATAATCTAATGTAGCCAAGTACCAGAGACTGAAAATTCTTTTGCAAAGAATCTACTTCATAACTGCCTTCTAATTCATCTCAGGTATTTCCAACTTTTATTTGGCACATAGGTTTTAAGCATATGTGAGCCACATGCAGAAAATAATTTAATAATGGACTTTGTCTCAACGCCACATGACTTAGGGAAGCAATACACCTCGCTACTGCCATCAGCCTCATCATTTATTTCGGATCCCGGAGAAACTTTGTATTTCATTAGCAGAACTCTCAATCGTTGCAAACGCTGCTGCCTGCTTTCAGTATCTATCAATAACAGCGCCATAGTGAGGCAAGCTTTGACCTTGCTTTCTTTAAAACATTTGAAAAGCACAGATAAAACCACTCCTTTCATATCCCTCTTTCTTTTTCTTGATTCCTTTCCTATCCCCCACCTCCCGTAGAAAATACCTCAAAGTACTGGGGATAGACGGGTGGCTCTCTGTGGAATAGCAGCCTCATCCAAGGCTCTTTGAAGTCAACAGAAAGACTTCTACTGGCTTTAATCACCTGTGGAACCAGCCCTGAAGGTGTAGCCAAGGTACTGTATTGACTTTTTTCACTCACCCACCTCCTAGAGTGGAGAATCCCATGCATTTAGGCATGCCCATGGTCTACCCACCTCTCCCTCCCCTCGAGTGCTTGAAAACATGTCTCTGAAATGCTGTTGCCAGCCTGTGGTAGAGACACGGCAACACATAGCACCCCTGGGTGAACCTGGGAGGACAGCCAGGCTTGGAGGATGGCGTGAAAACAACACATTGTATTGTTTCTTAAAAAAACCCCCAAGATGATTGTGGCACATAAAATAGTAGAGAAGTACTATTTCAAAAACCAGCTATAGCCATTACACTAAAGACTCATGTAAACCTTCCTCTTGTCATTATCTTTATTATCTCCTAAAACTACCACAGTCACACCTGGTGCTTTACATAGAGAATAAGAACAAAGGGACTTTCCTAATAGCATTAGGATCAAAGCATCTGAGCACAGATTTAAGGGTATTACGTTTATTGCATGAGTAGTTTTGTTAAGATGCCAAGAACTGGGGATTGGCATGCTGCTGATTTTTTCAAATAAATATACTACTGCCTAGCTTAAATAAATGCAAGAAAAAAAGTTTAAATAAACACAACAAAAATATTTCCATATCAACTGTTTCCAGAAATGTCAGAACACTATGCTAAATCTCTCCTGCAATGCATCAGTCTGCTCCAGCGCAGCGGCAAGCTTGTGTTTTTGTTTCCACAGAAATTCGTTTTCTGTTTCAGAGTTCAGGAATGACGAAGATCATTCTGTTTTACCAAGTATGTGCAAATTGCTTTAAACCAACCCTTGCTGCGTTTCCTACTCCGACGTTCTGGAAGGTGAGGGTACATCTTGTTCATTAACACCTCTCTAACATAGAAAGGCTGCTACTCGAGTCACTGGGCTGGCAGCAGGTAAAAAACAAAATATGTACCCCAAAAGCTCTTAAAAATATGTACAAAATTTCTGGCTGGTTGGGCCCAGGTTCTGATCCTCCTCTGACCCTCAGGGCTGTGCCACTGCCAGGCTGAAGGCTGGGGGCAAGGTGGGTCTGGCAGTGAAAGGACTCAACCTCCCTGGGCACAAATAAACAACTCTTGGTGAAAAGAAAGCGGCAGCACGGAGCAGTCAAGAGCTATGGGGCAGCTTTGCTTCTCCTTAACCTTCTGCGCTGAACAGGCAGCTCAACGTGGGGGCAGAAAAGCAAACCACCAGCAAGAACCCGGGGACATTCTCCCTAAAAAGTGAAAAGTTTCAGAAAATGCTGTCAGACCACTTTTCCAGGCCCCTGTGCATCAGCCTACGATTTGGGAGGTATCTGAGATAATGAATGCAAGCTGCGGTGATCACCAAATGAATTCCCAAAGATAAGTATGCTCTATAGCTCACCAGGGCAGGGCTAGGGGCTGGGAAGAATTAGGCTAAAAAAGGCTTTATCAGATTCTGCCAGGAGCAACTTTTTGGAGGAAATTAAAATCAATCCTTGTAGGTTTAGATTTCCACACATTAAGGATTATATGGAAAGTAAGTGCTTGTAAGTAAGCCCTCGTTCATCCTTTCCAACAAGCTGAGCTGAAACATGTGCTCGATGAAATAAAACAGAAAAACGATGGAGCCCTACAATGCTTTATACCCCCTTTCCGTGAGGGGCCGTGCTCCTGGATGTCAGCAAACTTCTCCAGCTACGAGCAGAGCCCAACCACACACCCTCATAGTTCCATTTCAGCATCCTATTAGTCTGCATCAGCTCTACCTATAACTCACGCTGCTGCTATCAGGTGCTGAAATCACAGCCGTGTAACATCTGCACCTCTGAAGTCTCTCGAGCACGAAGGACATCAGAAGACAAACCACCAAGGAAAGCCTGGATCGTGCTTCGCCAGCTGAAC